AGCACAATTGGAAGAGCGTAGTCGATGTCACTGAACTGTGCATGTAGAAATTTTTGAAATGGTGTATCTTTGGCTATGTGTATTTTCACCAAAAAAAAAGGTTGAGAAGTTAGAGGGTTGACATATTGTGGGGTTGTTAACCAATGTCATAAAACAATATGTGTACTACTGTTTCATGAGAAACTATTTTTCTGTAAGCCTTCACCTGAAGTACAATTAAAAAAAAAAAAAGTCAGTTGAAAAAACCAACCAGCATGCATTTTAAACAAACCAAAATAAATAAATAAATAAATCCTTCTTTCATCTCCCACTAACCCCTCACACTACAACTGTTCCCCTGCCCTCTTGCACCTACATCTCCCTGAAAATTTAACTTTCAGCCAGAGCAGACAGACTTCTTGCAAGTGACACCTTTGAATTGGAATCACAAGTACTGAAAATAGGTTTTATTAATGCGTTGAAGTTAAAAAATAAATGCTTAAAATGTCCTTCCTCCCTCTGCACTTAAGCCTTCATTAAATCCCACAAGTAGAGTGTCTTCGGTACCTGATTTCCTGAGAGAGGTGATGGTTTTCTCCCCCCGCCCCCCATTCAAGGAAATAGAAGCTTAAAGAGTAAGGTGCTTACTCTCGGTAAAACATATCATAATTTCAAAGTTTGCTCTAATCCTTTAAGTACATTGTACACACAGGTGGGGCCTCTCATAGCATGTTCACATCATGAGATTTAACTCTTTGCACAAATCTATACCCATTCTTTCCTCCCCTGGGACAGCATTAGCTCTCAAATTACAAAAGCTTTTGCAGTAAATCAACAGATGTGAATTTTTTTTTTAAACCATTTTAAAGTAACTAATCCAGGAAATTAAATAAAAATTTCTCATCTCTAAAAACAATTTTCTTCTGCCTTCTCTTTGTCCCTTTTCCAATTTTCCTTCAATGTCTCTGTTAATCTCACACGCATCTTCTTCCAGCAATTTCCCTTAGCCTGCCACATGTTTGTAGTGTTTGAAATTCCTTCAGTCTGTCTCTCAGGTGCCTTCAGTATAAGTTTCTGGAGTCACTGTATTTTTGCCACTGGTGGTCCCATTAACCCTCCCCAGGTCTCCTGAGGGCCATAGCAGCCAGAGGGGAAATGATTTACACTAACAGAAACCTTTTCCTTCTAACTACAAAGAAAATAGTTTTTCTAGGATGGTGTTAATATTCCATAAAGTCCCTGGGTGGTGCAAACAGTTTGTGCTTGACTACTAACTGAAAGGTTGGCAGTGTGAACCCACAAAGCAGTGATGCAGAAGAAAGTCCTGGTGATCTGCTTCTGTAAAGATTACAGCCAAGAAAACCCTATGGAGCAGTTCTACACTGTAACATCTGGGGTTCTCCTGAGACAGAATTGACTTGATGACAATGGATTTAGTTTTTGTGGGGATTAA